TAGTTCATTCGGCACGATTTAATTGAACCAAATGAATTGAATACACAAAACTATGTTCCCTAATCCCTAAATACCGAATAGCTTCAACTGAACTCAGTAAAACTATTTGTTTCAAATTTTGTACATTGATCTAACAACATGGCATTGAATGCTGTATTTTGTTTAATTTACACCTAAAACTCCCGAAATAACTCCCAAACCAACAAATGCACGAACGCTGCCAATCGCATGAAAATGCATTGGCACTATTAGTAAACTACCGAACACCACTCACTATAGTCATTCGTATGTCGAATGGTATTGCAAATACAATGCAATCATAAGAGTCAGTTCCCTAATCCCTAAATAACGAATAGCCTCAAGTGAACATAGTAAAATCATTCATTCGTTTAAATTTTCGTACATTGATCTCACAACACATGGCATTGAACAATGTTCTAATCTATTTATGCCTAAAACTCCCGAACTAACTCCCAAACCATCAAATGCACGAACGCTGCCAATTGCATGAAAATGTATTGGCACTTTTAGTAAACTACCGAACACCACTTACTATAGTCATTCGCATGTCGAATGACATTGCAAATGCAATGCATTGCTTTTGCTTAGTTTCTTGGGCTCATGAATCATCATGCTTCCCTGACAGGTGGTACTGGCAACACAGTATCATTGTATAAGGGAGTGGGAAAGTAGTAGCCAATGACATACTGCCAGACAAAACGGTAAAAAAAAAAAGTATCAACTCAAGGCAGTCCTTCAATGCAAAATCTATCCAGATTTTCTATAGGCCAATCATTCAGCCATTTTGGAGCTCAGCCAGCCCACCACCTTGTCAGCCATTTTAGACACTTTGATGCTGAGCCTGCCAGAAGTGGTCGTGTCCTCCTCCAGCTCTTCAAGTGACATAGCCATGGATATAGTGGAGGGGGGCATTGGCCACTCTGGCCAGGAGGAAGGCGAAGCAAGTGGGAGAAGCAAGAAGAAGCAGAGGCAGCCCAGGATTTTAAAGGCTGCAGATCCTGGGAGGAAGAATAAGTACGCTGATAGTTTTGGTGCAGAGGAGAATACAGTACTGGTAAACAAGCTTTGCCAGTACTACCAATGTATGTTTGGTGGAGCAGCCAAAAAGACTTCAAGAGCAAAGAAGAACAATCGGTGGAGGAAGATTGTGGCAGCGGTGAATGCTGTTGGAGGGAACAACCGCACCCAGGACGTGGTGAAGAAACGGTGCACTTATATTCTTAAAAAATAATTTTCTTTATGCCATGTTTTTTTTAAACTTATTTTTTTCCTCCATGTGCTTTTGCTACACCCCCCCCCACCATTGGCAGCTATGCTTTTAAAGTCTTTTAAAAGTGAGGGTTGGGTCCACTATAGTGCCAGGAAAACATACCCTCCCGCCCGGCTCTGGAAGGGGGAAAGGGGTAAAAAACTACCTTTTTCCAGCGCTGGGCGGGGAGCTCTCTGCCTCCGATCCTCCTCCTCTCCTCCCCTTTGGCTGAATGTGCACGCGTGGCAAGAGCTGCACGCACATTCAGCCGGTCGCTTAGGAAAGCATTTACAATGCTTTCCTATGGACGCTGGCATGCTCTCACTGTGAAAATCACAGTGAGAAGCATGCAAGCACCTCTAGCGGCTGTCAATGAGACAGCCGCTAGAGGCTTTGGGGGAAGGCTTAACCCATTCATAAACATAGCAGTTTCTCTGAAACTGCTATGTTTATAAAAGAATGGGTTAACCCTAGCTGGACCTGGCACCCAGACTACTTCATTAAGCTGAAGTGGTCTGGGTGCCTAGAGTGGTCCTTTAAGCACATAGAGGGAAAAAAACACCATGTGCAGCTCAGCTTTAAAGGAACACTATAGTGACAGGAATACATGTTTGCATTCCTGTCACTATAACTGTGAAAACACAGTTTAACCTCCCTCTCAGCAATGTAACTGTAATTAAAGGGACACTCCAGTGCCAGGAGAACAAACCGTTTTCCTGGCACTGCAGGTCCCCTCTCCCTCCGACCGATTGCGCATGCGTGGCCGCCGGCGGGGTGAGACCTAATGAGCATGCACGGCAATGCTGCACACGCGAATTAGACCTCCCCATAGGAACACATTGAAAAATGCTTTCAATGATTTCCTATGGGGGTTTCAGCGATGCCACTAGAGGAGGAGTTAACCCTGCAAGGTAAATATTGCAATTTATGAAAACTGCAATATTTATTTACAGTTGCTTGGTTAAGGGTAGTGGAAGTTGGCACCCAGACCACTCCAATGGGAAGCAGTGGTCTGGGTGCCTGGAGTGTCCCTTTAATTACTCATCATTATAGCAGAGCTGTGCTCTGCCTCCTTGGCTGCGATCTTCATAATTGACAAGATCAGCAAATCCAATGCTTTCCCACAGGAAAGCATTGGGAGGCTGTCATGTTGCAAAAAGCTGCTGTTCTATCAGATATCTATATCTATCAGATTTCTTTATTGACGTCACTTCCGGTGCCCCCATGTCACCGGAAGTGACGCGAGATCAGCTCTGCGCTAGCAGGCTTTGAGGTATAGAATTCTGGTGGAGGCACTGCGAGCATGTGTGCCGCCTCTGATGATGCTCGATCAGGTGGGCCTTTAATCTGAAGGGTGTACCGTGCATGCGCTCGGCACATCCTTCAGCTATAGAAATCTGATGGGTGTAATACGCATGCGCGCAGCCCATCTATCAGATATAGCAATCTGATGGGTGTGCAGCACATGCGCGCAGCACATCCTTCAGATATAGCAACCTTTCTCCAGCACCGGGCTCCCTCTGCGCTGGGGAACACTCCTCCCTCTGCCGATGTCAGCTTCGAATGCTTAGCAAGAGCCGTGCGCGCATTCAAACCACCCATAGGAAAGCATTACTCAATGCTTTCCTATGGACGTCCAGCATCTTCTCACTGTGATTTTCACAGTGAGAATCGCGGAAGCGCCTCTAGTGGCTGTCAGTGAGACAGCCACTAGAGGCTGGATTAACCCTCAGTGAAACAGCAGTTTCTCTAGAATTGCTATGTTTTCAGCTGCAGGCTTTAAACTAGAGGGACCTGGCATCCAGGCCACTTAATTGAGCTGAAGTGGTCTGGGTGCCTATAGTGGTCCTTTAAATTCATATTTGTTAGTCCAAATGTACATATATCAGTTTTCTTGTGTTAACCTTCCAATGTGTGTTTTCTATGCCATCAGTGCAAGCCCCTCAATCCCCAGAAGAGGCACCAGGAACTGCAGGAGATGCTGTCTCCATGGAGAGCAGGGCAGCAGGTTTACCGCAAGAGCCGCGTTCGCATTCAGCCAGTCTCATAGGAAAGCATTCACAATGCTTTCCTATGGACGCTGGCGTCTTCTCACTGTGATTTTCACAGTGAGTAGCGCGTAAGCGCCTCTAGTGGCTGTCAACGCGACAACCACTAGAGGATGGATTAACCCTAATTTAAAGATAGCCGTTTCTCTGAAACTGCTATGTTTATAGAAGAAAGGGTTAAACCTAGCTGGACCAGGCACCCAGACCACTTCATTAAGCTGAAGTGGTCTGGGTGCCTATAGTGGTCCTTTAACTGTACACATTTTCTTTGCAGGCATACTAGTTTATGTAACAGGCAGGGCCGGGTTGACCGCTAAGCAAACTAAGCGTCTGCCTAGCACGCACTGGCCAGGGGGCTTAATGTGTGGGTGACCAGCAGGGGTGGGGGGGGGCTCACATCGCTTCTCTCCTTCTGTTCACTTTATGTACTGTGGCTGAATGGACCACGTGTGATCTTCTCTACCATCTACTTGGCCTGACAGGAAGCTGAGTGCAACGATCAGCTTCTTGTCATGCAGAAGAAAAAGGAGATTCTCTACCTGGGGAGGCTTGGCCACGATACATGTGAGATTACAATGAAAGGGAGGTGGGCACAAAGACATGCGCTGAGAGGTCACAAAGAGACAGAGAAAGGGCTAGGGGGGACAAAGATGAATAACTATACTTAGACATAATAATAAATTAATAGCATGACTGCATATATCTTATTTCCAAGTTTAAATAATATTGTTGTATAGATAATAGTAAGCATTGCAACATATGACACATGCTAACAATGTTCTTTCTCTGTTCTCCCCTATAGGTTCTGATGGTACTCTCCCCCTGCAAGAGGAGGGTACCATTACCCCAACAGCAGTGGATCCTGATTCAGTGACATCAGTGGCCGAAGAAATGCAGTTGCCACAACTTCCTCCATCGTTGTATGCGACGATCCAGGCTTGTCAAACTGAACTGGAGACGTCCATGCAGCAGGATAGGGAGAATCAGCGAGAACTATTGCAGAATGTAATAACCGAGGTACGTTCCATGTCGAACATTTTGAATGAGGGCGTTAGGCAATTTACATCAGCAATGGTTTCCTTGCAGCAAAATATGCAGTGCTTTATGGAAATGAGGGAGGAAGAGTGCATTCTAAAGCGCGCCCAAGCTGCCCATAATTTGGGCATAACCATTGCTGATGTAGATAGCCTAGTTTGTGAACGACGTGTGCAGGGTCTTCCCAGAAGGGATGATGATGATGAATAGATATCTGTGGGAAGAATGCACTCAGATGTTTATTTCTCATTATCATCCACAATGTGAACACAACTGACGCTGTTCATCATAGATTGTTACATTCTCAATTTCCTCCTGGTTTTTCCTATCCTTCCCCTGAATATACATTGGTTCATTCTCCTCTGCAGTATATCCTTCCAGGACTGCTCCTAACAACCTGGGCTGCCTCTGCTTTGTTGCTTCTCCCACTCTAATTAAAAAAATATTGTATTGGATTACAACTTCTGACTCCTCTTTTCTTTAATAATTTTTATATATATATATATATATATATATATATATATATATATACATACACACACACACACTTGAACGAAAAATATCACTATATATATACCTATATATAAATAAAAATAATTACAAAAAATGATATATATATATATATATATATATATATATATATACCAATTTGCAGAAATGTAGGCTGCACTCACAGACTTCAAATTTCAATATAGGTGCTTTATTCCATTAAACAAATAAATCTGATCGATTTATTTGTTTAATGGAATAAAGCACCTATATTGAAATTTGAAGTCCGTGAGTGCAGCCTACATTTCTGCAAATTGGTATTTATCAAAGATCCCCAGAAGGATTGGCACCCGGCAAACTACACCACTATATGACAGGACTTTTGTTTTGTATATATATATATGCACATACACATAAAGCAAATAGTGAACAGAGCACTCCTTAGGAAATTTTCAATTGTGTATTTAAGTAATCTTGATTACTTATTAAATACACAATTGAAAATTTCCTAAGGAGTGCTCCGTTCACTATTTACTTTATGTTTGGCACTGGAAGCACCCAGGTATTACAAGTTATATTTTTTTTTAATGATGGTGAGTGTCGGAGGTCGGATTATATATATACACAAACACGTATATATATATATAATAATTCTACATATATATTTATGTAATAGTTTTACATAATTAGGTCATTTTATTAATTACAATTTGCAGGACCTGCCTGACAACCCAGCCCAAAAGTCCAGGGAATTTAATTTGCTAGCACTGTATTTAAACCTGTAACTTTCCAAGACACCATAAAACCTGTACACGTGGGGTACTGTTTTACTTTGCTGAACACAAATATTAGTGTTTTAAAGCAGTAAAATGTATTACAACGATGATATCATCAGTGAAAGTGACATTTGTTTACACACAAATGGCACTTACTCGGACGAGATAATTGTTGTGATACGTTTTACTGTTTTGAAACACTAATTTTTGTGTTCAGCAAAGTCTCCTGAGTATAACAGTACCCCTCATGTACAGGTTTTCTGGTTTTAACTGATCGACGGGCACCCTGACTGGGTACCTTCGTTGGAGGATACTCCTAGTGCTTCCTGAGGGCTTCCAGCACTCCAGCCGACACCATAACCACCGTAGACTCTTTCAGAGCGCAAACCAGGAACAAGCTCTTACACGAGTTTAGGAGTGATTATAGCAAGGGAATATGCAGAGCATAGCAATCCCTTGCAGCAGATTCCCCCAATAAGAGACAGGACTCAAATTGAGGGTGAAGAAGAACTGAAGCTTTTAATGAGACACTGCTTTTATGCACATTTTGCACACATAGTACTGCCCACAGGGTTTTGTAAAACAACCAATCAATACGTACAATACACTCAGACACTCCCAGCAATTACAGACAAAATCCTCCCCTCTGCCTGTGATTTAATTACCTTACACAATGGGTCAATGCAGGGCCGGAATGGCCCACCGGGATACCGGGAAATTTCCCGGTGAGCCGTCGGCACCTGGGGCCGGGCAGACACCTGGGTCTGCTGTCGGCCGCTGGGGAGGTCTTCTGGCGGCCGCTGGTGGACTTGTCCTGGCGGCCGCTGGGGGAGCTGCACTGGATCTGCTCCCCAGTGCGCAGCTGAATGAGACCGGCGCCGGAATATGACGTCATATTCCGGCGCTGGTCTCATTCAGCAGAGCACGAGGGCGGGAGAGCAAAGCCAGCGCAGCTCCCCCAGCGGCTGCCAGGACAAGTCCCCCAGCAGCCGCCAGAAGACCTCCCCAGCGGTAAAAGTCCCCCAGCGGCCCCCAGAAGACCTCCCCAGCGGCCCCCAGAAGACCTCCCCTTGGCAGGTATTAGTAATGTGTCTGTCTGTGTTATCATGTCTGTCTGTGTCATGGTGTGTGTGTGTCTGTCTGTATGGTGTGTGTCTGTCTGTCTGTGTCATGGTGTGTGTGTGTGTCTGTCTGTGTCATGGTGTCTGTCTGTCTGTATGGTGTGTGTGTGTCTGTGTCATGGTGTCTGTCTGTATGGTGTGAGTGTGTGTCTGTCTGTCCGTCATGGGGTGTGTGTGTGTGTCTGTCCATCATGGGGTGTGTGTGTCTGTCTGTCCATCATGGGGTGTGTGTGTCTGTTTGTCATGGGGTGTGTGTGTGTGTCTGTCCGTCATGGTGTGTCCGTCTGTCCGTCATGGTGTGTGTCTGTCTGTGTCATGGTGTGTGTCTGTCTGTTGCATGGTGTGTGTCTGTCTGTGTCACGGTCTGTCATGGTGTGTGTGTGTGTGTCTGTCATGGGGTGTGTATCTGTCATGGTATATGTGTGTTTCTGTGTCTGTCATGGTGTAAACGTGTGTTTAAAAATAGTGTTTTTGCTCACCTTTTTTTTCCCCATGCAGCGTGCTGGTCTCCCCTCGACTGGCCCTGCCTCTATAGCTGAGATCATCAAGCTTGATGATCTCAGCCAATCCAATGCTTTGCCATAGGATTGGCTGCAAAACGCCACTCCAATCAGCATCTCCTCATAGAGATGCATTGAATCAATGTATCTCTATGGGGAACGTTCAGCACCTACAGAGTGTGGAGGCCCTGAATGTAGGTGCACTAACACAGGAAGCACCTCTAGTGACCGTCTGAGTGACTGTCACTAGCAGTGTCACTTTGAAGCAATGTAAACACTGCCTTTTCTCTGAAAAGTCAGTGTTTACGTTGAAAAGCCTGTAGGGACATGCTATAGACACCAGTACCACCACATTAAGCTGTGTGTGTGCGTCTGCTAGTGAGTGAGCTTGTGTTTTTATGTCAATGAGCCGATGTATATTAAGCTGAAGTGGTCTGGGTGCCTAGAGTGGTCCTTTAATGAAAAAAGTAATTTCTTCACAACAGCAGTCAGAACAGTGAACTTCACTGCTGAAGCTGATGTGAGCACAAAAAAATGACACTAAAAGTGTGAAAAATGTAAAACAAAAAATAGACTGTTTGACTGTGTTCTGTTCTAACAAAGCACAAAGAGACTGTACTACAACAAATATATATATTTTAAACTGAAGATAATTCTATCAACTTAATAAAATGTTTTAATTAAAACTGAAGATAATTCTATTAACTGAATAAAAAAATATTACTTCACTTTTACACTGATTGCCTGCAAAGCAAGCATACACAGTCAGTGAGTGAGTGACACAAAAAAAACTCAGTCGGTCAGTCACTGTGACTCTGTGCTAGTAGTTGTTTTACTAGCACAGATTAAACTAACTCTGTGTGGACTGGAGTATAGATTCACTTAAAAAAAATAATTAAAACCCAGTCAAACACACTTAGCTGAGACTGACAGAAGATTAACTTTCTCTATCAGCACTCAGAATGAAACAGCACTGCAGCAACAGCAGCACCTCTGTAAAATCAATTTAACAAAAATCAACTAATCAACTTTGCTGCTAAAAAGACTTAACAGATAAACTAGAATAAGATTTATTTTCTTCTAGGCTGGCAAGCTAACAAGCTAGTCTACCCCTAGGGCAGAAGCCATCAGGCCCACTAAGTTAAAGTACTTGACTGATTCTACCTTTACTCTAAATCTAAATAAATTTAAGTAATTAATTTTGATTAAATAAAAAAGCAGATTTAAAAAAAAAGTAATACCTGGTTTCTGTAGGCAGTAAGCAAGCAGCGAAGGCAGGCACTGGCAGTGCCAGCCAGGCACCGTGTGGCACACTGACTCAGTCAGCAGCACAGCAGTGCACAGCTCTCAAAAAGCACTAAAATTAAAAAAATTATTCTCAGGAATAGTCTCTCAAATTCAACAAGTGAGAACTGGCAGGCACACCAAGACTCACAGAAAATCTGTAAGACAACTAATGAGGCTAACACAGCACAGAAGCAGAATGTGTCACCAACAAAACTCAGTCAAAGAAGGGGGGAGAAAGTTCCACTGCCTGCTTTTATACTGCTGTTTAGTAATTTTTTAAATCCACGATAAAGCACTCACCATTGGATAAGCCCCTACAGCATCATGTTCATCACCTCATTAGTTCATTCGTTTTTCTACCATCCCCATGTAAAGCAATGCAATGTTTTGAAAAATCACGAATTATTTGTGCGTTCGGTTCATGAACGCTGCTCGTTCGGTAGCTTGCATTGCAATACATTCTACTGACTGCCTGGAATTCAAAAAGCCAAACTATTGATACAAATGAACTTAAAGGCACATTCATTAGTACTCATTCGTTAGTTTGGCTCAATCCCATCAGATTTGAAGGGAATGAACAGAACTAACGAATGAAAGAATTATATATTCATTGCTATTCATTCATTCAGTTAGTAGTTCGGCTTTTTGAATTACAAAGAGTGCCAAGTGTACTTCACACAGAGTGTAATTCAAAATGCTGAATGAATGAACAAACGAAAGATTTTCGGTAAACGGCCATTCGTTTGTTCGTTCTTTAGTTTGGATACCCATTTGTTATTCGGTATGTGTAAGTATGGAAGAAAATGCATATTTTCGTACGAAAATCCATTCGTACGAATACGAATGCCCAAGTCTAGTGTGCACTGAAGATGTTCTCAGCTTCTCCACTTGCATGCAGTGGAGGAAGCACATTTCTTAATGTCAGTGAACTATAAATGTCCCCTCCTCCCCACCTCCCTCCATAGTTTGATTCCTCACACCATCCTCACCATCCTCACCATCCTCACCATCCTCACCTACCTGGTATCTTTAAAGGGACACTATAGTCACCAAAACAACTTTAGCTTAATGAAGCAGTTTTGGTGTATAGATCATGTCCCTGCAGTCTCACTACTCAATTCTCTGCCATTTAGGAGTTAAATCACTTTGTTTATGAACCCTAGTCACACCTCCCTGCATGTGTCATCTAAAGTTTACTCTTCCTTTATTTCAAGTTCTGTTTAATTTAGATTTTCTTATCCCCTGATATGTTAATAGCTTGCTATACCCTGCAAGAGCCTCCTGTATGTGATTCAAGTTCAATTTACAGAGAAATAGATACAATTGTTTAAGGTAAATTACATTTGATTGAAAGTGAAACCAGTTTTTTTTTTTTTTCATACAGGCTGTGTCAATCAGAGTCAGGGGAGGTGTGACAAGAGCATAAACAGGAACAAAGTGATTTAACTCCTAAATGGCAGTGAATTGAGCGGTGAAACCTGAGAAGCATGATCTATACACTAAAACTGCTTCATTAAACTAAAGTTGTTTAGGTGACTATAGTGTTCCTTTATTTGATTTGTTTTCCCATCCCTTCCCTCTTTCTCTGTGTCCAACTGCACTTCTTCTCGCCACTTGAAAATTTGCAATAC